TAATTCTATGAGAAAAAAAAGTCTTATCATTGTTAACATTTTAAAAGCCTCATAAAAGTTGTGACAGAAACTATAGCATGTGTTCCAGGAAAATCAAATTTAAAGAAAAATACTATGTAAAAAGGTGGCACCCACTTGGTGTCTGTTTCTAGAATTTTCCCTTTTCAAAAAAAAATGCTGCATAAAAATACTATGAAACAAAAAAATAAGTTAATCAACTTTACAACTATCAACTCCTCGTGTGAATACGGCAAAAATGGATTGAAAAAGAAGCATAACTTGTGAAGTAAGAGATACATATTTGATATACATATTTGATAAGAAAAGAAAAGTTTATTAGAGGGAAAAAGAATATTAGGAAGGATAAGGACAATCTCAATAGCAACGATGCATCAGCAGGATCACATGTAACTGGCTAATGATACACAAACAGAAGACTCCTAAGTATTTGCACTTGAATTTCTGACTTCATTCAGACTGTAAAGCTCTGAGCAAAGTTTTCTTTTCTTTCGTATCTTCTCCTCATAGGGTTCACTTCAAACAACAACATCGAAGCAAAAATGGTCTATCTCAACTTTGATAGACAATAAGTTAACAACATCAGTTATCTGCACTAACATTGAAGGAAAATCAATCACTTTTTCCATTAATAGACAGCTTGATGAAAAGTTGGGACCATTTCATGAACACTAGACTAGAACTTTACTCAGTGAAACATAAATTATTGGAAACTTAAGTATATTGGGTAGTGAACTGATCAGATATCAAAAAATTTTCAGGTATGATTATAACAAGCAACACTGTAGCTGTTGTTTTCAAATTAAAGCTGACATTTTTTTTACCTGCATCTCTTTCTGAAAGAACTTGTTGATACTTCAAAGTGAACTCCAAAAAGTCCTTTTCAGATTTAAAGGTACGCTTTGCAATCTTCCGTTTCGTTTCCGCAGTTTCCTAAGGGTAACACCATCCAAGTCAAAAACCATAGTGGATTATACTTAATATTTAGATTTATAACTGGAACAGAATAGGCAGACATAGAAAAAGAGAGATATTACTAGAGAGAAAGAGAGAGAGAAAGAGAGAGAGAAAGAGAGAGAGAGAGAGAGAGAAAGAGAGAGAGAGAGACCACATAAAACAGAAAATCTAACACAAATAGGCATATTCTTGCAAAAATGACAATGAAAGGGACTGATTACCAAATCAAATGAGGAAACAACATGAGGTTTTTATTATTGTACCAGTTCAATAACACATCAAGAAGCACCATGAAGACTTCTTCTTTCTGACCGTGACAGTGCATTATATGGGGCAGTTAACCATTTGATCATTGACAACATAAAATAGGCAGAAAATAAAGGACAAGCAGACCTACATGTAGAAATACTACTCACTCGCAACTAGCTAGTCCTACCAAATAAACAGTTAACCATTTTAACATATAGCCCAGTGCATAAACATAAGAATCTAGACTCACCTAAGGGCTTAAAGCATGAACAGCAGTTACAAAAATATCAAACAATGAAACACATCTTTTATTTCGTACCGGGATTCTTTCATAAAACAACTCATTTTCACTTTTTGGTGCCCAAAGCCTTAAAGAGTGCATTCATAAGTAGAAGAAGTTCTCTTAAATTCCACTATTATCACATTAAATTTGAGAAGATCTAAGTGAAAAATATAAAAGCAAACAAGGTCCAAAATATCTAGGTATATGGAGTGGATTCAAGTAAAAATGATCAATGTAATATGATACTACTGACTAGTTTTCTGGTTTTTAGTAAATCGATGTTTTCTGATGAAGATATTTCTTTCAAATCAGTTGTATTTGTCTCTGATCCTCCTTCATTTGCTGCAAAAGGAACAACCAGCGAGTGAAAAAGCTAATACTAAAAATATACTGCAAAGAGAATGTGAAAAGTAAATGCAAGACAGTCCAATGACAACTAGGTTTAATGCAATATATGGCAAATATATATACCCAAGGTACAACAAGATAATTACATGTCTCTGTGCCACAATTGACTTGATCTTGTCCTTGTTTTGTGCACTCAGATACCCCATCTGGCTCATTGACAGTATTAGATGAGCTGGACATGCCTAGACTACTTTCTTTCTCCTCTACGACTACCATATTGGGCACTTGCACCAAGTCTATCGGCACATCATTGCTCTCTGCCTCCGATAATGGGACAGGGAAAGTTCTCAATTTCCCAATCTTCTCTTCCCTACCTTGAGTTGCCTGAGAATCATTGGATGCCATATCCTGTAAAGACTCATTAGAGCAATCAAGACCACTTATGCTATCCTCCTTGTAATCATCAAGTGGCTTTTCCTGATCCAAAGTTGGGGTGGGAGGGGCCAAAGATTCTGTTGGGCTATCTACAAATCCATCTGGCAAAGAATCCACTTCAGGAAGCTGATTTGCACCCGAATTCTCCATTTTACCTGAATTTCCAACGTGCAGACACTAGAATTAATTACCTTACCCTGTAATCCATAGCACAGTAATCAAAGGACTGTCAACGGTAAACAGGAGTAACAATCAATCATTTAAGCAAAAGGCCAATATATGATATGAACAACAAATCAAATACTAAAAACGTTTTCCTTCACATATTTTGAGAACTATGCATCTCCAGAAATGTGTTCTTGTTGGAAAATCTTGTTTATGACACAAGAATCCAATGGAAAACCACATGAACCTCCCCGGAGTCAAGAGGTCCTAGCATGTAAGATCGTTTCCCTCAACATGATAGTTAACCTACTTCTCGAAAAAAAAAATAATAATTAAAAAAAAAAGCAAAGAAAACTCATGGTTCCCTAATCCGTAAGCTAATGCTTCCCGATTATTGCCTCTTAAGCCACCATTAGGCATGCACATCTGACACCTAGTTGTGCACCTCCGGTTCTATATAAGACATAAACGCAAACTCGTCTAGCTCTGTACAATCACGCCGTTTCAGTTCTTCAAATTTGTCTCCTCTTTCCTTTCGTCTTTCACTATTTTCTCGTCAAACAAACGGAAAATCTATGTACAGATAGTACGTGATTTTTAAATTCATCAACAGGCATAGCCAATCAAAGAGTGAAAGCGATCTAAGCCAAAAGAGCCGTGAGATAATTTACCTTTAGCGAGCAGCAATATTCGAGGATGAAGTTGAAATGGAGGAAAGCCGCGGGAATCTGCGCAGCGGAAAAGAATGAAACAGAGAAGTGGATATGCAGTGAGTTGAATTGAACACAGACCGTGTTTATTTGGATTTTGATTGCACTTTGGTAAATGAAGCAGTCGAGAGCTAAAAGGCTTTGTCTGGTTTTGTGTTTGTTTTTATTCTTTGAATCGAAAATATAATTATCCACAGATTTAAAACATGTTTTGTGGACTAAATTTTGTAAATTATATATTATTACCTCATTTTAAACGTATATTTTTTATATTATGCAAAAGCGAGCCCCATTTAAGCCCAAACTAGCACAGCCCAAAAAACTCAATGGTTCGGCCCATCTAACCCAGCTCGTGCAGGCCCACTACTTCTCTCCAAAACGATGACGTCTAAGTCGGAACTCATCCCGAAATTAAAGTGATTTAAGAAAGAACGTTGTTTCTTTCTGGACCGTTTTGAGTTTGCATCTTACCCAATATGCAGATTTAATATGTATTTTTATATGTTTGTGTTTATATTTATACATACATTTGCATGTGTACATAAAAATATATTTTGTACATATGTTTTTATACTATATATAATTATATTCTTTACATATATTCGTGTGTGTGTATATATATATATATATATATATTAGCAAAAATAAAATTTAGTTAAAAAATTATCATTCATACTTTGATGAATGACAAAAACAAATGAGATTATAGAAAGCAACATATATTAATGTCTTTTTCTAATTAAAGTATATATTTAAATTATATTAAATTTGAATTAATAAAAATATTAATCACAATATATTTAAATTTGACATTCTAAAATTTATTTAAACTCGACCATTATGTGTGTGTGTGTGTGTATATATATATTTAAAATTTTATTATTGTAAGTAAATATATGTTTACATCAATAAATATAATAATAATTTTATTGATATATAAAATTAGTATATATTATTATAATATATTAATAAATATACTTTTATTTTTAATATAAAATATAGTTTATATTTATATTAATATAATAAATTAATTAGATACATTCATGTTAGATATCTAATAAAATCGATATGATTTAAAAAAATAAAAAAAAAATTACTCATTATAAATTCATGATTAATTTAAGTTTCCTATTCATGTGGGCGAGTCATATTGGAGTTTGACAAAATTTAAATTGAACATATTTAATATTATAATATATTAATGTACAATATAAATAAAATTTTAAATTTAATAAAATATAATTTAATATTGATCAATACTAATATTGAAGGGTACAAAATATTATTTTTTACTGAAATATTCGATCAAAATATATATATTTTTTAAAAAATAATAGTAATTGTGTTTATTATAATCTAATATTAGTTTGAATTATTTCTTTTATTAGATATTTATTTTAGTCTAACTATAAATTAAGGAACATTACTAAAATAAAAGCATTAAAATATTAAAATAGTTACTAGAATTAAAATAATAAATATTGCAGTACGTACGCTGACCGTCCCGAATTTATTACCCCGTAAAATTTTAAATAAAATTTACAAATAATAACTGAAAATAAATTCATTTGTAAATTACCATCTTCAATGCTGGATCGAGTTGGGGCGAACGAAACCCGCCCGAACCGAACCCGTTGCTATCCCACACTCTCTGCTTCCAAAAGCCACCATCAGCGCATCTCCTCCCTGCTGATGCCCAGCGCCGCATACCATCAATTGGCTTCTCCTTCTCCTTCGTCGCTCATCCCGTCTTGTCCCTGCAATCCATTGCCCAGGCTCCCCTCTCACGACCGCTAACCTCTCTCTCGTTCACCCTCTTTGTTCAAACAATAGACGCATCTCTCTCTGGCCGTCGATTCTCTGTATTCGCCAGTAGCAGCAAATCGGCGTCGCCGCATAGACCACCGCATAGATCTCACGCTAGCTTTCCTTCTCTTCGTTAATAAGATTCTTGTTTCCTCACATTCTTACGGTACGATTCCCTCTTTCCTTTTCCCACTACTCAAGTGGTTCCGTTCTTACTCATATTTGGGGTTCAGTCTCAAGCTCACTACTGTGTTTATTTACACGTATGAAACTTTTGGCGGAAATTCTGTTAAAATGCGGATGCGAGTTTGAGCCTGTTGAAAAAAAAAAATGCTTGTTAAAATGGTTTATGAATTGATAGCGTCGCGATTGTTACCTCACTGTTACTTTTAAACTTCAAATGGTTTTTCACGTGGATATGCCATGATGCTGAAAGCACGTAGGTGCTAAAATGTAGATGTTTTCGAAGCAGGCTTTTGATTTTTGATGTTATGTTTGTTAATTCATTTTTATGTATTGGTCCTAAGTGCTGTTAGCCATTTATGAATAGTTTGATGGTTATTTTTGTTGAATGGATTGGCTTTAATTGGTTAACTTACATTTAATGAGAATAAACTGATGGTTTAAACTTTGCCTGTAATGTGTTCGATAGAATGTCCCACAGAAGGTCTGGTGAGGTTCATATAGAGTTATATGTGGCCATAATCTATACGGATACTCTTTCTGTGTGACTTGGTTAACTATATAGCAAACTAATAATATGCTTGGTTAACGTCCTGGCTATGGTTGCATGAAATTGAGTGTCAAGTTCTCTGTAAATGAACAATATTCGACTTTTGAGAACAGTTTGAGTAAACTTTTGATGTACATATGATTTCATTTTAAGGTGCGTGTGGTCTAATTTCTCATTGTCAATGTCTGAATGCTATTGGTTTTACTCAGGCTTAAGGTTTTATCTTTTTTTTAATTCATTAATCTAGGCTTCTCTTTGCTTCTATTGCATTTTCCATTTGATCTTTTGCACTTTTCTAACGACATAAGCTATCCTGATAACATGCTCGTGATTTGTTACATGTTTTAGTGAATTGTGTTTATTGGTTTCTTTTTAATCCTTAGACTCCTCGATTATTGCTTTCTTTGTGCTGCTTTGGCTCTATGATGTAGCTCACACAACATGAATTTGAACAACTTATATGTTTATATATGTATAAGCTGTGGATTGCAACCCCTTGGTGCTTTGTTAATATATTTACACTTTTTATTTCAAAAAATATATATATAGGCTGTGGATTTGACACTGGAAAGTATCTTATTTTGTTTTTTTTTTGGGTGAGTTTTTTCAAAAGAATCATGTCTCGTGTTAAGCACATGTTTTTTTTATTTGATTATATCTATGTGATATAGTTATATATATAGGGGATGCTAGAAGTAGGTAGACAATAGAGCTTTCAAGAAAAGAACTGTGAGCCGATATTAAAGCCTGCCTTTTTTAGGGGAAAAAAACCACAAACCTGCTTCTATTATCTGTTTTCATTTTTAATTGATATCTTGTAAATTTAGTTTGTGAATATGGTTATGCATTTTATCTTTTGTGAAAAACGTGATCTTAGGTGTAAGCTGGCACTTTGAGTCTTCATAGTTACAAGTTTACCATTTTTAATTCTCTGTTTATCTGAAATGAATGCTTCTTTCAGAACTCTGTAGACGAAGGAGGAGGAAAGAGAGGAGAAATGTGGAGGTCAATTGTTAGAACTGCACTCGTGAATAGCAAAAGGCAGCACCTATCAAATGAAAGGACTGAACCCATCATTTTATCATTATCACCTGCAGCAAAGCTGACACTAGAACACGACCAATACTGCTGTTACTCCTCCAAGGCACCAAAAGCATCAGTGCCTAAAGGGAAAAAGGGCAATACAGGCAAGACTAAACCTAAAGGCTCCGATTCCCCTGTCACTGGCACTGGAGCCGAGATTGACTCAACCAATGTTGAGGACTATGACGCAGCCCGTGCACTTAAGCTTGCCGAGGATGAGAAGGACCCATCACTTGACGTGGCTTCCAACAACCGCCCACTTTTCACCTCCATTCCTTCCCTCTCCCTTCTCTCCCGCAGGGACACCTGCTCCTACTTCAAGTTCAGGTCTCTCTCTCTATGATCCATCATGTATCTATAGATGTTCAATGTCATGTATTTATGTAGAATTGGATGTATAAGAATTGGATTGATTAATGTGTGTGGGTGTGTGGTGTTTTGGTGACAGGGAAAAGGGATTGAAAGCAGTGTTGCCTGATGGTCTGCCTGCAGGCATGGACTTGGAATTTAAGGATTCAATGAGGCCATCATTGCTTGTGCGACAAAGTTTCTTGGATCTTCGTGATAATTTCAGGCGTATTGTTGATCCTCCAACGTGGTCAACTGATAGTAAAGGTGTGTTTTGGTTTTATATCCATGGAATTTGATTGGTCCACATTTCCTCCGAGCCTTTCAATCTGAGTTGAAGAACCATATCATTGCTATGAGGCATTTATTTTGGTGCAAATAATTGCAAAATAATGCATAGCTCTCTCTATCTCTCTCTCTCTCTCTCTCTCTCTGTATATATATATATATATATATTTGTCTTAATGTTGGATAAGTTGAGTTTTACGCTTTGCTATAATTTAGCCCTTTTAGCCTCATTATGTTGTTTTAATCTATTACCATTCTCTCCTTAAATTTTGAGTTTGTTAGTTCCATCTTTAGATAGGATGATATAAAAAATGACCAATGTTCTCTATGCAGCTCCAAAAGTTAGGAAGCAGATTGTCTTGGATGGTCCTGTTAACTGTGGAAAGAGTATTGCCTTGGCAATGCTCGTTCATTGGGCTCGTGATGAGGGTTGGTTGGTTTTGTATGCCCCTAGAGGCCGAGAATGGACTCATGGAGGATTTTTCTATAAAAATCCTCAAACAGGTCTTTGGGACACTCCCGTACAGGCTGAAAATGTGCTCAAGGCAAGTTCCACCTTTCCTTCTTTTTTCCTTTCTTTTGTAGTTAAGATTATTATTAATCTCTTCAATTGTAGAAATATCGGACTATCTCAAAAAAATTGTAGAAATATCGCACAGCGGAATCAGTAATTCATAGTGAAAGTCACTAATTGTCTTCAGGGAAACATGATTGCTTTTAATGTTCTACCGGTGGTTATAATCAGAATATAATTATTATAATCCTCCCATCTCAGAAAAAAAGCAGAGGAAGAGAATAGAAGAGGAGGTTGATGCTTTCTTCTAAATTTATGCTTGTTTTAGATGTTAACAAACTTCTTTTTTGACTTTTCTCCTTTATTTGTTCATGTCTGGGTTTGTATATTCCTCACAAATTACTTTCTCCAGGATTTTCTGAAATATAATGAACCTCGCTTAAGACAGCTACGATGCCAAATATTTGATCCTATACCCCTAGGAGAGGGTGCGGGTGTTGGATGGATGAAAGGAGCTGACACCATGTTAGTTCCTGAAGGATCAACTATATATGATCTGGTGCATATGGGAGTTCAGAGCACACACGCAGCTGTTGGAGTGGTTGTTCGATTGAGGAAAGAGTTATCTTTGGTGAAAGATATCCCTGTGCTCATTGCTATTGATCAAGTGAGTTCTAACTACCCGCATTTTGATGTTTAGTCCTTTTTTTATGACTTTTGACGTCACACTTAAACTCGCATTTACCATTGTCCTTAGGTGGTTCATATATCTGTAATTGACTCGTTGCTCTTATCGCTTTCCAGTACAACAACTGGTTTACATTCAGTGAATATCAGGAGCCAGTAACACCTCGCTCTTGTCGCTCAATACATGCTAGAGAACTTTCATTGGTTAGTATAATTTGTTTGTCCCTTTCAGCTCTTTAGACTTAAACTCGTACATAGATATTTGCCAAAGCAAACATGCAATGGAAGTTTAGCACACAGCCATTTTAAGGTTCATCTAGAAAAGGCATAGCATTTGGTTTTCACTATCCTTTATCTTGGATTATTCAAACGTCTAGCATTTTTTTGTAGGTGAATGCCTTTAGGTCCATGATGCATGATGATATGATGGTGGGTGCTTTCTCGCATTCAACAGCTGTCGGAAAGCTACGGAAAGAATTACCAGATGTTCCTACAGATGCTCGCGTTAATCTCCCCCGGTATAATTTAGATGAGGCATCCGCGGTTTGCCATTACTACCTTAGGTAGGTATATGGAGCAACAGTGCTCCTTCCCAATTTGTGTCAGATAGGCCCTGAACCTAGCTGGGATGAGTTCCCACTAATACTTGATTTTGTTTATCACCTTTTGCTAGTTTCTTTTACGCTACTTTTGTTATAGTTTTTAAATGTCTGGATTAAAACTTACCTCGGCCGATAGCTCTATAGCCTTTGCCTGAGATGATGGATTTACCAGCAGAATAATTCTATTGGTTATATAATATGTCTCAAGCATTGTGTCAACCTTCTGTTTTCAGGCAAAGACTAGTACGTCGCGAAGTATTTTCAGAGGAGAGCTGGAAGAAGATATACTATTTATCCAACGGGAACGGAGCTGAGATGAGGTGGTTGGTTCCACTCATGCGGTGACATTCTGGAAGGCAATACTAGAGAAAGATGCTTTTCTAATCTGTTTGCTATCTTGGTTTATCTTTCCTCTTTTATGCAGCTTAACGTTGAATCCTCGGCAATGCCAAGGAAAGATACCTGTTTACCAGCTTTCTTCCAAGTCTGTTTTTTATTTATCCTAATAGGACAATGTAACATATGTAGATAAGGCAGAGTTTTTACCATTTTAGGTCCCAGTTTAGAAGACTAATTATGGGACAGACAGTACACTTGGCAATTCAATCATGGGTTACAAATCTTGAATAACCAATTGCACGTCTGCTTTGTAGAATGTTGCGAGGAATAAATGCCTGTTTTATTGTCTTTTTCTGATCAAATTTTTAATCTAAATATTTGAAAAAATTATGGTCATTATATTTATTTAGTGTTTAATAAAAATAACTTTAAAAATATTTTCACTTTGGAAAACTAAAAATTGTATTTGATGAAAATGATTTTTAAGATTTTAAGTGTAAATATTTAATAAAATAAAATTATTTTTTAAAAATAGTACATTGTAATTTTTAATTTTGAACATATCAAAAGCGTATTTTAAATTTGAATATTGTCAAAAATATTTTATATTTTACCTAATTTGAATATTGTCAAAAATATTTTATATTTTACCTGTTTGATTGTACTTTCGAAACGAAAAAATTAAAACTAAAAGTTGAGTCAAAACGTAAGTTTATTGGCATTTTTTGAAGAGTTTTATTGTTTTCTCTCTTTTAATCTCTAAGACATCCCTTGTCATTTATTCATTTTTTGCTTTTATTTTTTCCTTTGACAAGTCCTCTTAAAATGCATAAAACTTACATAACCATTAGTAGATCATCTTCATTCATCTTTTTACCTAATAATTTTTTTTCTTTTAAAGCAAGTTTCTTCAATATTTTTTGCGAAAATATTCTTTTGACTTTAAAAATTGATTTCATGAACTACACTATTCTAATGCTTAAGAATGTATCACCCAATGCCTGAAAATGACTAAAAATATAATAATATGATTATAGGTAATTAAACTCATTATAAGCTTAAGTTTTCATCTATATAATATATATATTTACTTTATAATAGTATTTATCAATTGTGGTTTCATACTATCTTTATTAAATCGAAAGAGAAATATTTATAGGACTTTATTTATTTTTTTATTATTTTTACTTACATTTTGATCCTTATATTTTCACTTACAAAAAAAAAAATACTTCATCTAGAACTCTTTTTTTTAATGATTTTTGTGCGTCTTAAGGTAATTTATTAACATTGCAAAATATTTTCAGGGGCATTCCGAGAATTGAACTCGGGACCTCTCGCACCCTAAGCGAGAATCATACCACTAGACCAAATGCCCGAAGTGTTTACCTGACAGACATATCTTAAATTATAGTAAATAGTGCGTCATAAACCCTTGCCATTTTCACGCTGGAAATGCAGCATTGAATCGCCCGAGAAAGAGAAAAGGAGAAAAATGGCGAGAGCAGCTCTGCTTCAGTTGCTCAGATCCCAATCCAAGCAACTCTCTCGTAAAAGTTTCTACTCAGGTAGATTTCCTTTTGTCCTCGTTCAATTAGGTTTTTGTTTGTTTGTTTGTTTAAATCTTGGTAATTAGAACTGTAAACACTTCGTGTTCTGCGAGTTAATTCAGATTTCGGATTTTATTCTTTTTCCTCTGAAGATGATATATAGATGCGAACAAAATAAGAAAATCGCTTAAGGGGAACTAAGTTTCGTGTTGCTTTTCCAGAAATATTGAATTTTTATTCACTAGGTCTGTTTATCTTATGATTGTAAGGAAGACAAATATATGTCCTAAACACAAGGAGGGGTTTGAGGGATTGGGTCTATTGTAATGGTATTTGAAGAGTATACAACAAGGGTTGGGAGCATTATTTGTTTAGATGCAATTCATTTTTTTACTGGTATCTTTGAAAAACCATATTTTCTGATTTTTACGCACAATAGACTGTTCTGGTGGTTGATGATGGTTTAATTTTAGTTTGCTTTTGTGGGAAAATCTTTTGCCTATTCTAGTCTAAACATTTTTTAATTCATGAAAGTACCTAAACTCTGTAAATTTATAGAACAATGGAAAACATAAAATCTTCTAAAAAATTACTAAAAACAACATTTTAAATTTTTTTAGTCATCACAGTGTTGAATTTCACTCTCTTTATTAACAATCTTATGATTGTTTGTGAATAAAATACACATAAATTAAATGGAACCTTAGATTCTTGTTTTAGGATGGTCATTTAACTTTCAATATGATTCCCATTTCACTTATGTGGACTGTGTGGAAAGTTAGGAACAGTAAGGAGATGACACTAATGATTTTGATGTACTGAAGAATTGATGGCTTAGTACTCTAAATTTTTTGCTTTCAGGTCATCCTCCGGTTTATTTTGAGACTTATAGGAAGATTACTGGAATGGAGGACTAAGCTATAAATAATTGTACATGTTCCTTTGCACCCCTGGTGCTCATACTAATACTACTCTTCTACTTTTCATTTAAAAAAAAATAATAATTTTGGCCTTAATAGGTTTCTTCCTGGTTAAACTTGCCACACTGTGTTCCCATAGATAATGTTCTTAGAAGGGCTTTACCTGATTAATTCTAAATTTAATTAGCTTATGGAATGAGACTTGACTTGTCTAGGTATAGCAACTGGGACAGAATTTATATTTATTAAAAGTATGGGGTTCTTGATTCATTTAGAAACAAAAAACTACAGTATGCTTCCTTAGTTGGAGGAGAAAATGCGAGAGAAACGTGCAATGTAATTAGACACTGATTAGGAGCATCCTTACTATTATTACCAATAGCTTGGACATGATTTCTGTCAATATTTTATTCATGTGTAGGATATGGTGATTTTTGTGTGAAAATTTTCATTACATGATTGATATAGTGCATTTGATTAATTTATGTTCCTAGTTCTGATGGGGATCTATTGATCTAGTTTAACTGGGTAATTGTGTTTATCAATTTTTTTTAACCACAAGAGGACTGACAATTTTCTTTTGTGGTTAAACCACACAAACCCATTGAATTCCACTTGCAATCATTTTTGAATTCCATTTAATTCGTTCTTTTAGTTCGTTGTTATTCATTTTGTATTTTTCTTTCGTAACTTACTGTCATTAGAGAACTTTCAATGTTGGAATTGGATGTAATCTTGTTTGTCCTCTATATTTGTTTGGGTAAACCATATACAATTGTAAGTTGTGAAAGCGAAGAAAATTCACCTGCTAATCTGCCCCTTGCATTAGCTTTGATAAGCCTGCATGATATTTTGTTATACTCTGGTGGCCCATAGCCGGGAGATGTCACCTGCAGTGTTTATTATAACTAATGCTTATGTAAGTTCCATATGTCAACACCATAATCTTAAAAACAAATAATCACTCTGTGGCATTTTTGTTTGAAGTTTCCTGCAGTTGATATAAGAAGCTTTCTTAACAATGCAGGCTTGAAAGCTCATAATTATCTTGTGTTTGTTGGGAAATAATAGATCATAACATTTTTGACATGTTTATTTAAAAAAAAAAAACATTTTTGACACATTATTCTGTTTGGCCTGACCAAAGAAGTTTAGTATGGTTGATTTTTAGTGTTTTGAATTGTACCAACGTTGATCTCTTAAAATGAGGTTTAGAGTACCTAGTGCTCCGCGTTAGATTTATCTGGCTCCACAAGTTACCAAATTTATCCTGTTTTCTACTCTGAACTGCCATCATTTATTATGCCCTTTTTAGATGTTTTGAAGATGTTTGCATTACATATCTTCTCTTTGTTTTAGGTTATCATTGTTCTTTCTTTTTTTTTTTTTTCCATCTTTCTATTTTCTCTTTGTTTCAGGCAATCACTATAGTAGGGTTGGCACAAGGACAGACATTCCAAACATCAAAGACAATGTCAACCCTTTCCCTCAATTTGCTGCCATCGGACAAAGATGGTCATCACAAGCCACAGCAACTGAAGGTGACAACAAGATCAGCATTGGGCCACGCAGAGGAGAAGCTGAGAAAGACGAGAAAGAGACGGGTATTGTTTACTATGGTCCAATCTCATCCACCATCAAGAAAGTAAAGATGCTCTCTCTTTCGACTTGTTGTCTCTCTGTTTCTTTGGGCCCTGTCATAACCTTCATGACATCCACGGATTCAAATGTGATTCTGAAAGGTGCAGTTGCATCATCTGTAATATTCTTCAGTGCTTCAACCACTGCCGCCCTTCATTGGTTTGTTAGCCCTTACATTCACAAGCTCAGGTGGCAACCAGGTTCAGACAGCTTTGAGGTAGAGATGATGTCGTGGCTGGCAACCTACATTCCTCGGACCATCAAGTTTGCCGATATTCGACCGGCAGAGACCAACAGGCCCTTTGTGACCTTTAAAGCCAACGGAAGTTTCTATTTTGTGGATGCAGAGCACTGCCAGAACAAGGCTTTATTGGCCAGATTGACTCCGCAAAAAGCTGCTCATGAGTCTGCTTTTAAGAACTTGTAGCACATTCCTGTATCAAATGGTTGACCCAAACTCGAATGAGGTTTTTGCTGGATTTTCTTCCCCACCAATCGTCTTCTTTGCCTGCTTGGTGATAGAAAATTTTTCTGAACAGTAGCAAGTACATCCATGGTTGAGAAGGTCAAGTGGGAATCTTTTGTGATAACAGGGGATTTTGTTTGGAGTATTCAATAAAATTTTCTGACTTGTTTTATTATGATTTCTTAAGTCTATTTCACGGTTTAGAAATTGTCAAAATAATTAGACTTCATTAAACTTCCAGGATTAGAGGTATAATTTGTTCTTAAGCTATCAAAACATTATATAATAAAAATTAATTTTATTAATTTATTTTTACTTTTCCCTTTTGTATTTAATAATAATAATAATAATAAAGAGGATGTTGAATCCATTATTACGAAAATTTCCTACTAATTCTCTATTGGATCGGGATAAAATTGTCCTTCCCACCCGCCAAACCATCCACTCATTTTTCTCGATCTGACCGCAGCTGGGAGAGGTGCACCAAGCGCTCTTTTCCGTGCAAGCACCGGATCATCGTCAACTCAAGCCAAAGGAAAAGGGCCCCACCAAAACCATACGCTCATTTATTTCAATCACATGGCAGCGGGAAAAGGTGCACCATACGCTATTGTCGATGCCAACACCGGATCAGCGCCCACTCGAGCTAAATAAATATAGAAAGAGAGGAAGAACAGAGAAGCCGTTTGGCACGATAGGAGGAGGAGATCAAGGTACAGAGGAGGCGCTTTTGGAAGAAGCACAGAAAAGGCGTGGCTGAAACTCTGAAGCAGAAGAGACAACCGAGGAAGAGGGAAGAGCCGAGAGCTTCGGTTTTGTGAACAGCTTCTGGCTTTGAATAGGACTTCTGGTTCTTTGGATGAGAAAAAAAAAAGTAAAAAAACTCCATTAGATGAGAAAGAGCTCCCGTTGAGAAGCAAATCAGAGGGGGAACCTCTTCTTCTTCCTCTCTGTGAAATCAGAGAGAGAGAGAGAGAGAGCCAGCAAAGAGAGAAGAAGTAAAATTTTGAAGGGTGTAGAGAGGGTACTGTGCTGTTGCGGGCTTTAACAAAAGGGTAAGGCTTAACCCTCTCCCGTTTACTACTGCTTTGATTATTCCAATTTTCATTTGAACTTGAGATAAAACGATATTAGCTCCTAGTTTTCGACAATCATGATTGAGTAGGTTTGTCATGTTGTGTATGTGAGAGAGAATTAGCTGATTGTGTTGTTTTGCTATGACCTTAATGGTTGAACTGCCTGATTAGCCTGGTATCTTTGATTTTTCCCTTTTCTAGTACTCTGTTTACATGAGTGATGAGGAATGAGTAGACGTTGAAAAGTGGTGGAGAAAATTTTTGAGTTTTTTAGGAATGGGTTGCTAGCATGAAATCCGCAAAGGGAATTGGCTTGTTTTTGCAAATATATGACTGCTTCAACAATTACTTATGTAAATCTGTTATGTGTCGAGCGCAGTTTGCCCTCAACAGATTGGAGGAAATCCCACCATGAGCAGTTCTTTCTTTTAAAAAGGTGTTTTAGTTTTGTCCTTATTCAAACTCCTCCTTTCCACTTTTTGTTGTAGAAGTATGACGGTTTTTTGTTCTTGATGGAATCTGATTAGAGTATGCTCACCACCGTGTTTTCATAGCATGATTCCACTTAGAAAGTCAGCATTCCAAACACAACCATGTAACATCCATTTTTTTATTACATATAATCAGTGACCCTCTGTTTGGTCTGAAGAAAATGGGCTTAGAAGGTAAGCTTTTAATGTTTTCCTTTTTTCCTCTTCAAGCGTAAACATGGTTCCATGAATATAACTAAAAATTTGAAGTACATGTTTCGTATATATTTTTTTTTCTAATACCAATTGTTTCTCTGTATATTGTTTCATGGAGTTGAGCATAATTAGGAACATTTATCATGTTTTTGCTTGTATGTAGGGTGCTCTCATGCCAACTCAATGTTGTGAAACTCTTTCTGTTTTCAATTTTGATGAGAAGTTCAATGTCAAATCCATTCCCGATATTGAAAATCAATAAAAGGCTGTAACTAGGTTGCCAATTTCAAGTAGAAGCTTTAGTATTTTGCTTAATCTTAAGCCCAATTTAAGTTTCTAGTTCTAGTACTAAAATCTAATTTTTTCATTCTTAATGAGACAGATGCATTTGTCTTTTAAGTGTTGCTAATTCCTGTGTCCTTGTGTGTAAACACGCAGTTCAATGGTCTTGTTACTATACCTCGTTTATCTACTAGGGAATCGCATCTACAGATTTACTTACCTTTTGATGTTTGTGCTCCCGGTGCTATCATTCTTTGTGGTAAAGTTGTGGTCCATGATTTTTTCTTATCAGATGGAGAAAATGCCCGCATCAGCTCGGAATCTTGAAGGGTTTATAAATGGAAAGTGCAATGATGATTCTTCGGAGATGGATAATTTTAGGCATCACGTTGATGATATTTTCCAGAAGGTTGATAAGGTATATTATGTTGTTAAAGTAGAAAAAATTGCTGGTGCTGCTATTGAGTCTTAACATTTCATAGGTATATGTGGTCTGCCGTTTGATAGAAGGTATTGATGACTTTATGATGGGCAAGGATGTTCATGTACATTTACAGAAACAAGAAGTCATATGATGGGCAAGGATGTTCATGTACATTTACAGAAACAAGAAGTAACATTCTTTAACAAACCTACAAAATTTTGTGTCACTATCTGTGGTACTGTTGTTATCTAAATTACAAATTTTCGGACAAATTAGGATAATTTTGAACTGAGCAGCTAATTATAGTCTCATTAATTCCGGCTTATGTCTACTCCGTTTTAGAACTTTATAAAATCATCTGGGATTTGGTTTCTTTACATATATGTGATTATCTTTTCATTATTGACTGACATAAATATAATCTATCCCAATTCCGTTTTCTTGCATTCTTTTACAAAACCATTGAAGATACTGTCGTCTCTAGTTACTATTTAGCATGTTGAAGTGAATCTTTCAGTTGCATAGTCATTCCTGTGTTCTTTTTTAAGTTTTCTATATTCTGACTTATAGAGTTGCTATCACTTATGATGGTGTCTACTATTAGCTTGAGCAAAGAGTAAATGAAGTGGAGAAGTTTTTTTTGAATATAAATAAAAAGCAACTGACAAGTTCAAGAGGTAGTTCAGCTGGGAAGGATAAAGATAAGAAGAGAAACATTCCTAGCATTAGGAAGCAGCAGCAAGATGCCTCGCATAGGGAAGCAGCTGCTGCAAAGAGGATGCAAGAGCTCATGCGCCAATTTGGCACAATATTGCGTCAGGTATGCATGGACCCTTTTCATGTGTCTTTTCAGTATTATTTTGTGTGTTTTGCTGCATAAATTGTGATTTTGATGTATATCAGAATGGATTTGAGTCTTCAATTTATTTATTTATTTCCTTTTTGTATTTTGAGGTTTCGAAGTGTACAAAACTATTGACTCTTGAATCCAATTATTTTTCTTCACTTATCGGAAAAAGTATATTGGTTATTCTGTTCTCTTTATTGTCTTTCCTTTTCCTTCACCCTGCTAAAAGTTGTCTTTAAACCATTAAGCGTCAACATGAATGGACAAGACACACTTGGGATCTTATTGCTAGTTATTTGGCTAAAGAAATAACTTCTATTTCTGGTGATGTTTCACTAGGAAATTTGCCTGATGTATATTTGTCTTTTTTTCCAGATCTCACAGCATTCATTGGCACATCCCTTTCTGCATCCTGTAGATGTGGAAAGTCTTGGTTTAGATGACTATTACGAGGTAACTTTTATTTTCTCTTTCTGTTCCTCCTAAAATTTTGTGCTGTATTGACTGCCATTTTGGTAGCCTAGTGCCCAGAGGAAACTATAACCCCATAACTCAAGTCCGCTTGTAGTAGTTTACCTATTTGGAAGATGTTGGGTATCAATGAATCATATAATCAAGAATTATCATGAAATTTCTGATCTGGCTTAAGCCTTCTATTGGGTAGAGGAGGCTGGTTATCTGGAGGAAGCCAAAGCTTCCATGTCGAGCAAGCCACTTAAAACATTCAACTTATTTCTATGTTTTAAGCTGCCCAAGTGGCCTTTCCTTTCTTGATGTTAGGTTCTTGCTATTAATGACTTAACCATAGTATGTGCGGTCTGTATTAGGTTATTGAAAAGCCCATGGACTTCAGTACCATAAAAAATCAGATGGAGGCAAAGGACGGTACCGGATATAAACACGTTCGAGAAATATGTGCTGATGTGAGACTAGTGTTTAAGAATGCAATGAAATATAATGATGAAAAAGACAGGGTTCATAAGATGGCCAAAACTTTGCTGGGAAAATTTGAGGAGAAATGGATGAAACTTCTGCCAAAAGTCATGGAAGAGGTAACTGATCCATAGCTGTATGTTAATTTATTTTCTGTAGACTTACTGATTCTTACGTGTATCTTCACTGGGCAAAGAATTGTTTAATCGCTGTCCTGGCCTACTCTTTGGCTGTTTTCTTAACTTGCTTAGCAATGTAAATTAGGAAAAAAGACGAGAAGAGGAAGAAACCCAGGCAAAGTTGGATATGCAGCTTGCTCAAGAGGCTGCTCATGCCAAAATGGCTAGAGATATAAGTAACGAGGTATCTTAACTATAAGACCGTTTCCGGAAAAGTACATTTAAGATGAAAAAGATCCTATTGGAAATAATCTGTATTGATATCTTCAGGCGTGTTGGAGTTGGTTTCTTGATTTGTTTATGCCAAGATCAAATCTTATACAATGATGTAAAAACTTTTGATGTGCTTTATTGTTTTCAGCTTTTTGAGGTTGATATGCGACTGGAAGAACTGAGAGAAATGGTTGTCCAAAAGTGCAGGTTTGTTCTACAAATTAATATGTAATGATATTTGTACCATAGCTTTAGAAGTTTAAACCTTCCTTCACATAAGTAATTTTATATAATATTGTTGGTTTCTACTGATGTTTGCATCTCTATGAGATCAACATGTCTATAATAATGCAAACTTGGTGAGGCAGAGAGATATAGATATCAATTGTTATGTCCTGGATTAAATAATATTCCACAAGTATATTATGATGTTTTGATGTTTGTATAACTTTATTTAGTTTGCAATTTGAACAGCATTTAATTTTTGAAATTGTTTCTAGAAAAGTTTCGACTGAAGAGAAAAGAAATCTTGGGGCTGATCTTACTCAATTGTCTCCGGAGGATCTTACTAGGGCATTAGAAATTGTTGCTCAGAGTAACCCTGGTTTTCAAGCAAGAGCTGAAGAAGTGGACCTTGACATTGATGCTCTGGTAAATCATGTGATTGCGAACCTAACCCTCGTTTTTTCTTCTCCAAATATTCTTCCACTGTTTGCATGAAACTGATGTGGTCTATTGAACGCATTGTTTTGCTTTCCACAGAGCGAATCCACGCTATGGAGATTGATGATTTTTGTGAAGGATGCTTTGGAAGTTGGAAAGAAGAATGCTGCAGGCACGGGCGACAACGGTATCAAAGACAAACAAAATAACCACGTCAATGGTAAGAAGCGAAAGAAAGAGATTTCTAATGCTATCATCAAAACTGCTAAGAAGAAGAGTAAGAAGCCCTCTTGATCAAATCAGTCTGCTAGTAAATGCATTTCAGTTCTGATGAATCCTTGATTGCATTTTTATTAAGCAATTCTGCGGGAAGCATTGCCTGGAACTTGTAATAAGTCTGCAAGAATGCCTATGAAGGTTAGCAACTTCAGTTAACAAATTTGCCCTGATATACATGCTATTTAGTTACTACGACCAAACTAATCTTTTTGAGTTGAACGATTCTACTATCTGCATGGCTAGCACATGTATAAATAGTTCTCTTGAGCTTTCAAGTCCCTTTTTAGGTTGGTTTTTCTGAATTTGCAACAGGTGTAAGGTTTGGCTTCTCTTTCAAGTCCCTCATTCTTGGGTTGTTTAACACTTTGTTTGGTTTGATATATAAATCTTATAATGTTATCTCAATATATATATATATATATATAAACCTTATAATGCAACACCGGGCTGCGGTTTTCATATTAAATTAATTTTTAGATTTCAATTCCTATTTATGTGTGTGTGTGTGTGTATATATATATATGTTTACATATGTGCATATATGTGTGTGTCTTGTATATATTAAACCTTGGACGTGTGTAAATCAAGGATTTTTATATATTTATACATGGATATGCAGCGTGGATCTAGAAAAAAAATTTTTTGGGGGGGGGGGGGGGGGCGTATAATTTTTACTTGTTCGAAAATTAATTGGGGGTCTAGGGGGAAGCTCTAATATGTTAGCCCGAATAAATACTGAAATATTCCTAACAATTTTATAAAATTTTAATCTATATATATATATTTATAATCTATGAGATCTTTTACACTTATAATAGATTAATGAAATAATTAATAATTACCATTTTTAAATTTTAGATTTTAGCATGCGTTAGTGTAAAATGAAATACAAAATCAATTTAAAATTAATATTTACTCTTATTTATATTAATTTATTTAATATATACGTAAATAAATCTATAACAAAGACTTACATTCTGAGTGTTGTATTCTCTACGGCAAAGTTCATGGAAATGACTTTCTAATGAAATTAAAACAGAAAGAAATAATGCAATTAAATGAAGAAAATTAAAAATTGACAGAAAAGAATTTAACACGCAGACAACGATGTATTTTAATAACGTAGAAGGCTATATATATATATATATAGATAATAAAATATTCAAAGAAGCTCCATAAACAGAGACCTATCATCCCCAAAAATAAAACCATCACAAGTAGGAAATTTAAATAGCAACACACGGAAAGGAGTCCTGTGACTCAATTGACTCGAAAATATCTCCTAACGGATGCCACCGTCTATCAAGAACCCAATTTTGGGAGCAACAGAGGCGGCAAGGAGATGACTTGAAACCATAACTATCAAAAATAACACTTGACCATCCTGTAAACGGAACTCCAGTAACAACCAAGTCTTTAATACACTCCATATGATGCTTACCACCAATTGCTGAACCTACCCGCACGGTTCACTTCTTCTTGGCAGCAGATTTGGTCACCTTAGCACCAGAAGGATCCTTCTTCTCCACATTCTTGATGACACCAACAGCAACAGTCTGGCGCATGTCCCTCACAGCAAAACGACCAAGAGGTGGGTACTGGGAGAAGGTCTCCACAACCATGGGCTTGGTTGGAATCATCTTAACAAATCCAGCATCACCATTCTTCAAGAATTTGGGCTCCTTCTCAAGCTCCTTTCCTGATCGTCTATCAATCTTGGTGAGGATCTCCGCAAATTTCACAGCAATGTGAGATGTGTGGCAGTCGAGCACTGGGGCATAGCCATTTCCAATCTGCCCAGGGTGGTTCATGATGATAACCTGCGATGTGAAGTTGGCTGCTTCCTTCGCAGGATCGTCCTTGGAGTTTGAGGCAACAAACCCACGCTTGAGATCCTTCACGGCAACGTTCTTAACATTGAACCCAACATTGTCGCCGGGAAGAGCCTCTTGGAGAGCCTCGTGGTGCATCTCAACCGACTTAACTTCAGTTGTCAATCCAGTGGGCCCAAAAGTAACAACCATACCAGGCTTCAGGACACCAGTTTCAACACGTCCCACTGGAACAGTTCCAATACCACCAATCTTGTACACGTCCTGAAGTGGGAGACGAAGGGGCTTGTCTGACGGCCTCTTGGGCTCATTGATCAAGTCAAGAGCGTCAAGAAGAGTTGGGCCCTTGTACCAGTCAAGGTTGGTGGATCTTTCAATCATGTTGTCACCCTCAAATCCAGAGATGGGAACAAATGGAATCTTGTCGGGGTTGTAACCAACCTTCTTCAAGTAGGATGACACTTCCTTCACAATTTCATCGTACCTTGCCTTTGAGTACTTGGGGGTGGTGGCATCCATCTGTCAAAATAATCAAATGCCGTCAGTAAAAAATTTCAGCAAAATTGAAATTCCACTTTAAGAAACCAAAGAAAATATCTATTCAAAAAACCTTGTTGCAGCAGCAAATCATTTGCTTGACACCAAGGGTGAAAGCAAGGAGGGCATGCTCACGGGTCTGACCATCCTTAGAGATACCAGCTTCAAAACCTCCAGTGGTAGAGTCAATGATAAGGACAGCACAATCGGCCTGGGAGGTACCAGTAATCATGTTCTTGATAAAGTCACGATGTCCAGGGGCATCAATAACAGTGCAGTAGTACTTGGTGGTCTCAAACTTCCACAAGGCAATATCGATGGTGATACCACGCTCACGCTCGGCCTTGAGCTTGTCCAGCACCCAAGCATACTTGAATGACCTCTTGTTCATCTCAGCAGCTTCCTTCTCGAACCTCTCAATAACACGCTTGTCAATACCTCCAAGCTTGTAAATCAAGTGCCCAGTGGTGGTCGACTTTCCAGAGTCGACATGGCCAATAACAACAATGCTGATATGAACCTTTTCCTTACCCATAGCGGTACTTAAGAAAACTGTTACATGGACAAAGAGCAAAATGATAATTAAAAAACTGTACTTAATTCACCAAGCAGGAAAATAATCAATCAATATGCTGAAGAAAAAATTTTTACCACAAGCTGATATAATCTAGATATGCATTAAAAACATTACTCAGAGAAGAATATGCATTAAACTCTATTTAAAGCATTGTATCATTTGTTCCTATTACTTTGATAGTTGTAACAAACATACAACCACAAATATTTAATTTTGGATCAACAAGAAAAAGAGATTTCCCATACAAACTGGTTCCAACCAAAGATTTGGATACAAAGGAAAACCGGAAACTTTGGCTTTAACTTCAAGGCATATAGATCCTCATACCAGAGTGTAAACGCCAGATAGAATTCAATATAGAGCAGCGAAATGCACAAGCAACTAACAAACAATTATATATACAATTAAAATTACAAGATCAATAACCAATAACAATAAACTTAGTCAAACTTATCACGTCCTCCCAGATCTAAACCAATAAATTCATAAAAAAAAACATGATTCAGAAAACCCAAAAAAAAAAATCAAAATTTAGTTTTGCTTATTAAATATCACAATCGGGTCAACTTAGCTGGTGAAATATTTCTCATTTTTTTTTTCAATCTGATTTATTACTGACCATACATACAGGACACAGAAACGAGATCTGCTCGACATCAATACTTAAACAATCAAACAAAACATGAACATGCGTAAAACCATTCATTTCGATAGGCAACGAAAATAAGACACAGAAAGGAAAAAAGAATAATTCTATACTCAATATCTAACGGAAAGAAAAAAGCAACAAATCCAATAGATACAAAAAGAAGAACCAAAGTTTACCAGAGAAGCAGAGAAATCGCCGCTAGATGGAGAAGAAGAGTGTCTGAGCGAAAATGCGTTTTTCCTTGAGATCTATACGTATATATACTACAAAACCCTCGGTTGCAACTAGGATTTCTTTCTCTACCGTTAGATTGGATTTTCCTCTCTTCTCAATCAACGATTGTCAGTTTGCCACGTGTATCGTGCTATTTAATACATTTATCATTTTGTCTCTTAAAAATTCTGTAATGACGTCCAACTCCCCGAGCTTTGTTAAAACCCTAGCTCTGATTGCTGACTACTCTAGTTTTGAATTGCGGGCTGACTTGTAGCTTAAATTAATTTGAATTATGTAAAAAATCTATGAAGATTTTTATTTTTTCAAGTCTTTACTCACCATCTTAAATATAATCTTTAAGAATATTTTTATTTTTTATTTTTACATTTTGTAAATACCTAAATTTTTTTGAACTATATAATAATTTATTAAATTTATAAATAATAATGTCAAAAATATTCGAAGATTGATAAAAGACGACATCAAAATACGTATAAAAGAGTAGTGTATTCATTATCGGAATCTAAGTTCAATATTCGTCTTGATCAATAATGTTAATAATTGAGTCGGTTTTTATATCTTATTTTAGGCATAACATATTTTAGATAATTAGAATAAATTTTTACATCTAAACTATTTAATTTAACATGTTTGAAATTCGGTTTAGTATAATTATTTTTGTTACAAAACGAGTTCATTTCCAAATAGAATCGGTTTGCCAAAAAAAAAAAAAAAGGACTAATCAAGATAAGTTTGACATGGATTTTTTAAAATTTTTCTAAATTTGACTCGCTATATATATTTAAATTTTTATTGATATAAATAATGAAGAGAGTAATTGGAGTTCAAATTTTTCAACCCAAACATGATAAAATTATAAAGAGATGAAGACTTTTTTCAATTGATCAATCCAATACTAATCATAGAGAAAATGAGGTTAATTATAATCTTATCTCATATCTCGTAAACTTATTAAAAAAATAAGATTATAAATATAAATATTTGTACTTACGTTATATAATTTTAATGTATTTTACTTTATAAAATCGTATAAATGATTAACAGATTATGTAAATAGATATTACAATATACTATTAATTACTTTTAAGATTCCAACAAATTAGTAACGAATTTTATAGTATGTTAACAACTAAGGTTAAAAAATAAGAAAGTACATACTAATAATCAAGAAACGTAAACTATATTAATCATAAGAATTAATCAGTGCATGATAACATACCAACTTATTCAATACGAGAATTGAATAGTTGGAGACTACTATAAGGAATAGTTAGTTCAAATATGCACTAATATCATATTAACTTGAATTATTTAATCAATATACATTGTTACATGTCGATAATATTGTGAATATATGATTATGTTAAATGATTATATTGTAATCACACTATATGTTCTATAGTTTGATACTTATTTTGAAAAATATCATTTTTTTTGTTCAACTTATAAATTCGTTCACCTTATTATAGAGATGATTTATCTTATTTGATTGAAGAAAACTAATGCAAAACTTGATTAACGAGGCCTTTATTAAGTTTTATAAATATGAACTTATAAAAAATATAGAATAAAATGATACGAGTTTCAATCCATTAACTCATACCTCATAAATTTATATTGAAGTGGGTTTATTTCAGTCTCGTCAACCGAATACCATGATGGAGAGAATCATATGAGTTTAAAGTTCAGATGAAGCGAGATTAGTTTCAATCCACAAAACCAGTATCGATTATAGTGAGATTATATCAATCATAGTAAGACTAATTATAAATATATCTATTAAATTTATAAAATTATAAATAATTAATTATTATAATACATATTTTTTTACATGATTTTAGAATATATGATTTTTCACTAAATTATTGTGTGTAGATTGTTAATATTCAATAGAGTGAGGTTATATGACTCCTTAGTTATTGCTCATGATTTTAATTATCACAGTTCCAATAAAATTGTGTTTTAGTGAACTTAGCATACAGAGATTTATAATTCCATGTCCATGTAACAAGGCCACTAGCAATTGAAACCTCTTCTGCCCATGTTCTATTTTTTAAACTATAAATATGATCTCATTCTCAATATATATATATATATATATATATTTGATATTCACCACAGAAGTAATAGTGAGAAAAATATAAAATCTCCACATTGTTTTTCTCCAGCTCAGTGCTTATATACAAAGCTTGGGTTCATCTCCAACTCTTTTTTTTTATTTACTACTACACACAAGGGAAAGTTCTACAGGCCACAGCATGTAAATAAAGAGGGGTTCTTACAACAAGTCATCTGGACACAGGTACTCGCGTCAAATTCGTAGTATCTTAACATTTAAAACTCATTAACCACTAAAGCAGCTTAATAAATGCAACACATCATTTCACTAGCAGCTTTGTCATTCAATT